CTACTTTTACACTGGTTTAGCATTCCCACTATCATATTTATACGGTAAGCTACGACTAGACGGCATATAAAAGCCTCGTGCAATTTCGGTGTTAAAGTTAGAATTTCTGGAATCTGTCAAAGACCATAAAATACCAGCAATGTGCATCTAGCAAATAACATTCTATTCTTCCTCGACCGTGCGTCTTTACATCTATGTTTTAATGTACCTTCTCTCTAAAGCATAACGGCAATTCGAAATTCAATTGAAGTTATCCAGTATCGAAAATACTGTGTTTTCCTTTTATTTTCATTTCGAACTTATTAATCTATTAAATGGCTCTAAATTAATGACTAGCTCCGTTTAGGTAAATTTGGTTAATCGATTCTAGTGCTAATAAATGGCAGAAAACATGATAAAATTACTTCTCCTTAAGGCGCGCTTAATCCGATACTCAGATCATTTCCAAAATTTAATCCAATACAAAATTAATAAAACACGGAAACAAATAATACCAAATCGGCAAGTAAATATTCTAGGAATTTATAAGAATATTATTTCCCTCCAGTTTTATTGTGCTATTATAGCTGATTAATTTTCTTTTCAAAATGTTTTAATTCGCATCTGTCGCAGAAGTTATGGCGCTAAATTAAATTCTATCGAGTTTTAAAGGCTTTTCGAGAAAGTCAATCTGGTATAAAGAGAGCCACCATCTTAAAAGGGTTTTTGCTTTCGCGAATATCTAATATTAAATATAAGATATTTGCATCATCTTAACCCGGGAAGGGTAATGCTTATTTATTTCGGCTGAAGAGTTTTGTAAAAGCAGTCAATTTTGGTAACATTTAACTGCACGTATACTTTTAATGACTCTTGAGCCGTTAATATCCAAGGCGAACTTAGGGAAAGATATGATATAATCATTAAGGGAACTGTAGTCATTTGTTAGTTTGATGACCGTATTGTGGCTAATCGTGGAAAAACTTAATCTCGAAGTTTTCCTCTTGTCGAAGGAGAAGGGGGATTTGTAACGGTTAAAAATGGATTTTAAATAGTGGTCCACCTGTATGTTAAGCCGATGGCAAATGTAGGTATGTAGGTATGTCGTCAAGACCAAATTTGACCACCGAGTCCGCCATCTTCGTACAGTCTTTTATAGTTTTTGTCCGCCTCTTTGGATTCCGCTTGTAGGACCATCAGCTGCCTCCTGGTTCCCGACTGGGGATTTTAATCACACGACTGGTGAATTGGATAGCCAGGGACACTCTGGATGAGATTGGAGTGAGACAATTGAAAGCCATTTGTTAGATTTTTACTTCATTTTATTTCACATTCATTCATTGTATTAGATTAGGTATTTGGTACTAGGTTAGCAGACGGTAACTTATGGTCGTCAAACCACGTGTTTCCTATTTTTGTAAGCGTTATTATAAATAGTTTCAATCAGGTCGTAAGTAGGTATTTACAGCATACCACAGCTGATCGTTCTACCGTTGCTGCGAAAGCCAATGGCGCTACAACGAATCCACCCTTCGGACTTTGCACAAGACCACCCAGAATACCTGCTCAAGACCTGCCTTTTTTGACTTTTTTCCCTTTTCAAAAACTGTGTTATCGAGCTTTGTATCATCGAAAATTAATTTCATTAATTAAATAGTGTTGATTAACGTTGATTTGTGTTTCTCTATTTCTGTGAAATTTGTCGTGTTGCAACTTATGCTTAGCAATAAATGAATAACTGGAAAAGCATCAAAAGCATAAAAATAAATAGGCTTTCGCGGCTATTCCTTGAACGTTTTTTTGTTTTTAGGCCATCGTGAAACAGATGTGTTTTGCTTGAAAACTTGCAACTTTGCCACATTACTTCATAATCGTGTAAGATTTTGGGCAAAAACCTCTGAAACTGGACGTCAGAATTAAATTCCATTTTACCGCGATTTAAAAAGCCGAAAAAGGTACCAGATCCCGGGGAGGATTGTGTTGTTTTTATCTTGTTCTAGTTCATTTTGAAGGTATAAAAGTTACACAAATCCCGCCTTCTTTATTTAAATTGCGTTTTTAGAAAAGCCTTCATATTTGGTCAACCTCGTGATTTAACTGATTCTTAATGTTGGTTAAAAATTGCTTTCAACCTCACTTGTGAAAATATATGGAAATTAATTTTAGCTTTGTCCACTTTCGTGTTCAGTCAAACAAAACTCCCGGTCTTTTTATATGAGCTCTACTTCAAATCTGAATTGGCCAGTTAATCAAAGCCCTGAAACAATATTTCAGTTTGCTGTATGTGTGATTACAACCTTTACGACCTGTTAATTGTCTGCTATAAATTGTGCAGTTTTGGTTCAGATTAAAAGTTTGATTCAGAATCATTTGCCCCAATAACAAAAGCCTGAAACTCTATATACTGACGCCAATTTTTCTTTAAATATTAAACCGGCGAACACCTACAGCATAATACGCACGAACGTACTTTAAGAAGTAATGTGTTTATATTAAAGTTAAACTACATAGCATGTAACACTTAAATAAGTTTCAGAAAATTATCTTGATGGCAAAGTTTTAGGAACTCCAGTTTAGTTCCACCTAAGAGATTTAATGAAACTATACGGACTTGGTGGCGTACAGCCCCTAAAACAACAATTCCAGTAGAGGTATATTGCCTGGAAAACATTGATGTTGTCCCTCTTATCTCAGATAATACGTTTCAATTTAATACGTTTCAATTATGTTTCCCACTCAAGTGATTTCTCGTCTTCAGTGAGATACTTGAATTAACGGCTGTAATCAGACTAATTGATGTATTTATTTAGCTTGATGGCCAGTTATTCGCTAAATAATAAATATTAATTCTGTTCAGACTAAGGTAAAATTATTATAAAATCGCTTCATCATCAATGCAAATAAATAACTGACGCTGACAGATCACATGACAAAGAGATATAGGTTGAAGAAAAATTAATTAAATGACGTATAACTGCTTTATTTAATAAAATTTTCCAAAGCTTGTGCAACAAACTGAGCCAGTGATACCAGCTTATAAATCACGACAAAGAAAGCGTAGGAAGTTTCGATACATCTTAACAAAATTGCTTGTCTAAAAATGTTTTTCTTTTTCATCACACATCAAAAAATAATGGCAGCACAATAAATATATATAAAGAGACATGAGCATCGTCTTGTCAAGTTTGAAAAGGACTAGCAAAATCCTGTGTAAAGTACCTTTCGTAAACAATTTTGGGTCCGAACCAAAAGTTGTTTGCAAATACATCAATCAAATGTATAATACAGCAAATCAATTGGCCTATAAGGAACAGGCGGGGAGGAATTGCCTGTCAATAATCGTTGAACCGCGTCAATTTGGGATACTTGAAGGATCGAGGCTGTGATTTAAATCTACTTAAAGATTTTGAGATGATGAACTGAGCCTTTAGGCCGATTTCAGGGGTCCACAGTTTATTCGAAATTTGTTTATTTTAATTTGAATATTTTTGCATCCGTGAAGGGTTAGCAGGCAGCAATCGCTCATCACTCATCACTACGAGATGCTTGTAATTCCTCAATGGATTATCATATAATAAAGTTCTGAATTTCAGTCTTATTTTCGAATTAGTTATGTAACGTGTGAATGAAAGCAAATCCAATCATGTAATCTTTGAAAATTAATGACTGAGAACTATCATATGTTTGGAAAATTACAAATAAGAATAAGCGAATAGCGCCGTTTTTTATTTAAAAGAGTTGAAGAATACGGGATCTAATTTCTACTGATTTATTGAGATTATAAATAGTTTAGTGTTCCTCCAAAACGTGTCCAGTCAGCTGCCATCTACTGAGGTTGCTCTGAAGGTAGAAACTACTCTATCGATTTACTTGAAATTTTCCGGGGATATTCTACCCCATCTGGAACTCTATATTAAAACGAGCTGGAAATGGGGGCAGAATTTCGTATTTCTAAAGCATATTTCTCCGTGTCAAAAATAGATGGTTTGGAAGCAGATATCATAGATCAATGCCAGTTTTTGAATAGCATATGTGACCATTTTATTAAATAATAGGCAACAAATACCAGTTATGAGCTAATGGAATACAACTTTGTTTGTAAACAAACTAAATATGTTACTATAAATTAATCTGGCCTAGATTTTGCATTAAAATTGCATATTTATGTGTCGGGCCATGTTTACCTCGCAACAACTTGGCGCCCATTTTACCAAAAGTTTTGAAAATTGAAAGCAATAACACAGCAGTGTGGATTTAGAAAATATTCTGAAGTTGGTGCATTTAATTGTCAACGAACAAAATGCTTTACAAAGTTTTTCTGCAAATCTGAACATCTCTGAGTCTGAGTTTTGTAGTAACATTGGTGCGAATACGACGTGTTTCGTACGAATTATTTGGCTAAACTTTATACTAACATTTCGATACATTTATATAGAATCAATTTTTATCTGACCCAATGAAACAGCTATCGAGAAATAACGACAACGTTTTTACACTTTCAGGCATAAAATACCTAGGCTAACACCATAAATACTTAAAACTTAAAACGTAAATAATATTTTAACGGTGAATTACATTATTGAGTCTTTTTTATAAATAACCAATTTTCTGATTTATTTTCGTGACTGCGTGTATTTATTATGATATATAGGTCGTATCTTTCCTGGGTCTCAGTCAAAGTGTGGAGTAAAAAAATAATAAATTAAATAAACTTTTCAATGAATTTGAATGAATGTGTATTTCGGCTGGAGGTATTAAAATGTAACAAACCTGATCAATAACAGAACGTAATATGTTGAATGATCAACGCGTCTAAGTTTAAGATACCTAATTACGAAACAAATAATTGAAGCGGTAATTTGAAATAATATTTTTAAAACAAGCACCTGCTTTTTTAAGTAGCAAAGCATAATAAATGTTATGTTTATAGTTAAAATAAAAGCTTACATGCGAACGGAATGCTAACCTAGGCCTGTATTTGATAAAATGCTACAGTTTCATTTATGCACGGCAATTGCAATGTGCAATTCCGAAATATGTTGCTATTTGAGATCGGGTCACACCTGGGTCCTGATTAATCCAGTTAAGATAGATTCCTTTTCATCCCGAACATTTGCTCTATTATTTAGTTCAGTGGAACATATTACGTTTTGAATTGGAAAGTGTTCTCAAAGTCGACCTTTAAATGAATGTTTTGGTAAGTGCATATACGCAGATAAAGTAAACTAGGATGAACTCAATTGAATTTTAAGGTCTCCACCTTTCCTATATTTTTAGGTAATGATTTTTTTCTCTAATTGAAATTGCTCTTAATTTACTAGGCAAATGCTAAAATGTAGTAATGAATAAAAAGTTTTCCACATGTGGCTTCGCGCCAATTCTGCAACTAGTTTTTGCGGAGGTGATTGATCCGCTTTATTAATTAATTAATAGGATTCCGCGAAGTAAACGCTTGAATTAGTTATCTGCCGATCGGTTTTTCAATCATTTTTTGGATGAAAAGCGTTATTTTCCCTTCCTAGTCGGTAGATATGCGCAAATATTAAGAAATGCCACCTCAATATCATGATTTATTATTTTTTTCAGTATCAAAATCATTCTTTCGCCGTTACCTTATAGTTATTGCTTTCCTACGTTCAATATTCATTTACGTGGTGTTGGTGAAAAGATGTACACAGGAAGAAAAAAACTTCAATCTGGGGAACAAAATTTGTTTGTCTCAAAATGTCTTTCAATTCCAATACTAGCAAAATTAATTATCAGTTATATCAAGTTCTTATTAATGGCTCAGTGCAGTGCAATAAGATTTCTGATAAGAACTGGGCGGGATTGTTTTCGAGTTAAATAAATATAAGTTGATGTATGTGTAACCTTTGCGTTTCAATGCAGCGAATATTTCGGCTTACATAAGCAAATGCAAACATTTTTGTGGCTTACATAAACAGTGTTATTAAATTATGAATGTTAAGAATTTAAATTGTCTGGAGATTGATATATTCATTGGCGCTATTCTAACAAAGTTTTCAAGATTTTTACTTTTAGGTGTCATTTTTTGCCACTATGATTTTTACATCTATTTTGTTGGAAACCGCAATACTGGCGGTTAGCCATCCGATAACACATGCTTCCGTTTGTAGCCTAGAGGATCTGAAAGTTCGCTTGCGAGATTCGTGTAGTGAATTACGTGTACCAACGCATTTTGGGGAATTTGAAAGAACGCGTAAGTCATATTAACAAATGTATGTAATTATAAAATTTTCAAACGTATATATTTTTTAGGAAGAAGTTACTCAGATATATCGCCAGATGCTTCTAAACCCAATTATTATGTCCGAGTTAAACGGGACCAAGTACAGGTGATATGCTGCACCCCAAAACTCATACCAACCTATGGTCATAGATGCATCGATTTCTACAGTTGTTAAAGCGAAAATTTATTTTTTCGGATATATTTTTATACACATTTTATATGGAAGGTCTGTTAACAATAAAAAAAAATCCTAAAGGACCTACTTTTAATGTTTTGAACTGTAGGTGATGCTTAAATTAGTATACTCAATAAAACATCGCAGGCAATTTTATTTAAACGCGTTATGCTGCGCTAGATGAAATATGTTTAGTTAACAGATTATTTATTTTGAAAATAAATGATAACTATTTTCTGCGCTTAATTGATTAAATAGTTGTCGGCATTGGCCACTTTTGTTTAAATTTTCCTAGGCGCGTAGTTACAAACAGTGACCAATTTTCATTATCCCCGAAGTTCATGCTGACAACTTTCTAAACCACTTATTGGCATTGCGATGCATAGAGGAATATCCAGTTTCGTATCTGCTTTGATTCCTGTCGGGATTATATCGAACTTTAAGGGTAACTTTGAGTAAACTTCTCATGCCAAGTGCCATATCTCTGTTCAGAAATGATCAAATCGTAGAAGCAATCCAATCTATTACGAGTTTCATATTGAATACTGTTTACACAATCAGATTCTTGAATAAATTCTTGTTTATTCCCAATTCTAAACTTTTGAAGCATTGCTTTAGTTTCCATTCCTATGTTTCAATGATGCAATAGAGTTTTTGTGTTCCACAGTAAGATTTTATAGTTAGCTTAGGGTAAAACGCGCTCTAATTGGATCAAAAATAACTTGTTATACAGAAAAAAGATATTAAGAAATGAAAACAAAATATTACCTGAATTATATTGCAAATGCGGCAATATGTATGAAGTCGACTTTCACAACACCGATTACAGTCGCGTCCAAAATTTCATTTCCTCAAATACACATAAGCTGGTTTTATCGCGTTTAGTTTCTTCTTCTTTTGACACACGCGACATTGCATTCATTGCATTGTAAGTTCTAATATTTAAATAATGTTAGAATATCTGATTTAAAAATAAGTAAACTTGAAATGTTAAGTTTGTTGTATTTGTATGCATAATGTGGTTTAATTATTAGATGATGTATTCTCAATATTTAGGAGGTACATGATCGCCGTAATGTTATTTAGAGCAATTTGACATTTGAAAATTCTTGAATGTCGGTTTCAGCTCAATTGAATGCGATAATGTCCTCTGGAGGGCATAGAGGGCAATTACGTCATATAATTTTAGCAATTATTTTGAAATATTGGAGCCGGACGTCAATGGAAAGCAAATATGACTGCTGGCAATTCTTATTATTCACCAATAAATTTTCTTTCTTATCTATGTTAAGTGATAATATGGCTGTTGCGCTTTTTATTGGTTGAACCACCGTCCCGGCAATATCACTACTGTTTGAATCCGGTCACTTGTAGTAAAAATTTTGCGCAATATTAAGTTATGGAGACCAAACATGTTTTGTACGAGAATGACCGATACTACCAGCTATCACATAGCGATTTGTGCAAGAGGATTTTAGAGCATGAGCGGATTATTCGTCATATGTAAGTATGAATCATCTAAATATTTTACAGACTCGCAATATTTTGCGCCAAAAAACCATTTGAATTTCTACCTGTGCAGTTAGTGATTTTAACTCCATTATTAGTTAAACAATTTGGATATCACATATATAATACTGTTGTACTTTTGCAGACAACGACGTTCTGGAGATCCAAGCAGAACCGCCCATCTTCGATTCAGTCTTGACTGTCTCTATTTTGAGCTTCACCGCAGAATGTTCCAGAATTGCATGATTCAGATGAACTCCGTACACAAGGTAAAAGATTGGTTACGACAATGCAATCCAGATGCAAGATGTGATTGCTGCAAACCTGAGTACTATGAGTTTAAATACGATAACGTCAGAATTATGAACGGCACTTTGAAACCATCTAGGTTCACAACTTATATCACTTTTGCCGACTCTTTCTCAGATGGAAAATGCTTTCATGTGAGGGAAATTGAATATGTGGAAGACACTAATGCCGAACTCGATTTATCCGTAACCGATGCTGCAACACTTGCTTTAACGACTCCTTCTTCGCATTATACTACTGCTCGGAACAGTGAAGTTGCCATTGAACCGACTATTATCAATTTAACCGTAGAAGTATTTTATCAGTTAGACGAGATGTAATGCAAGTTGATGCTCAGCTCAAAATTCAAATACCATTATCATCCGATGGTGTCTTATCGACCCCCGTAATTCATGCGTGCGACCATAGTTCTGGATTTACCAATTTATTATTTTTTATTTTTTGTATTTTATTGCAATATAGACAGCTACCAAATATCCACGAATAAATAGGTTTCGAAAGTAAAATCATTACCATGAAAAAAAAACTACGATTCGTTGATCTTAAAATACAAATGTTTGGTATACCTATATACATATGTGGTATATTTATATAAGTATATAATTTTTTTTCCTTGTATAGATTTTTTTCAGCCTATTAAAATTCATGGGGAGCGCAAAATTTATTTTTGTGTATGTACATATATTTTAATTATTTTATTAACGCACTTTAAATTCGTCACAATCTTCGGTTTTGATAGACTATTGTAATCTAAATATGCATGTATCGTGTTTCGTCACAAAATAGCACTTAACTAACTAATTGGTGATTTATCAAAAATATTTTTAACGTGGAAACTGAAGTTAACAGAATTGATAGAGCTTCTATTTAAAAAAATTGATAATACTCTTTTTTGACTGTTACATCTGTGATTACTTTTAAAATGTACCTTTTATACGAAACTTAATACACGACTGTGACTATTATACACATACTGTGATTTTGTTTGGCATAATTTTATAAGTTTTATTAGCAGTATTATAGCATTTTATTCACTAAAACTAGTATTAGGCAACATTTTTTATACATAAAAAATAAAGTATCATAATGTAGTCGTTTGTGTTTCATTTTGTAGCAGGAGTCGGTTAAGTTCATCCAGTTTATTTGGGCATTCACGAATGATGCATCACACGTGTCTATATAAATTTGGTGGTCGAAACTTCCTATTAAGCCCTAGGGAGTTATGTAATATATTATTCAAGGCAAACGTCCCTTCTTAAACCATTACAATAAGAAAAACCAACCCTCGTAAACCAAATGAAAGCATTGCATAAAAAATTCAGTAACTGGAATGTATGACAAACATGAACAAAAATGCTATACATTTTGGTTGGAGTGTGGCGCATTTGTCAAAACTCTTCTATATTAAGCTTAAAAGTTGTGGCTCAAAAAGTAAGAAAATGCTTAGTGATTATGTGTATCCAGTATTCGACGACAGCAAGTTTGGGTTTAATAAAAATGTTTCCCTACGTTTAGCTATTCTGGAGAATTGGACCTAACAAACTCATTAACATCAGTATTCAATTATCGCCCGCTTGCAAATTAAAGCGTCATGGATATGAATAATTTGACCGAAAGTGAATTGTCCTTCCGGTCAGTCGAAATCAGCCATTAATTATTGGTGACATGATTCAACGGGGGCGATTCTCACTGTCTTTTTACTTCTGAAAAATTGTTTTACTTATTCACATTTCCTTGTACGGAAACAACGATGCACTGGTTCAATTTCTCCAGCTAATGGCGAATGAAATTTTATTCTCTTTGAAAGGAAAAGCACGCACTGATGCTATGTTAATATTCAATTAATTACTTTCAATCTTTAACGTAAGTGCTAAGCTAAGTTCAATAATTACAAGGCTGAATACTCTGGTCTGAACGTTTTAAATTCGCAAGTAACAAAAATCGCCTTCTTATTCTTCTTTTATTGATTCACCTAAACTTACATTCAGTTTGAAAAGCTTAAAAACAAGTCATCAATCCAAGATGATTTTCTTAAACTACTCTCAACCAACTACTCTCAGCATATTAATATGACTTTTCGTCACCGGCAAGCCTTCCTTTCATTGACCTAAGTAAGAAAAATTACATCAGTTCACGCCATGCCACATGCAACATTCTTTGGCGCTACAAGCTTTCCTAACACTCATACAATGTTAAAATTCATATTTTCGATTAAAACCCTAATGGCTTTAATACCATAGGCATTTCACATATTTTAAAAGTGATTATTTAATAATGGAGACAGAGTTCTTACCCTCAGAGTAATATGAGCTCTAGACATTTCATACGTGAGGGGACCATATGATATTAAGGAAGTTTTGCACTCGATTGTTTGAAGAGATTTTGCATCGACACGTCATATGTGCTGATTTGTTATACAGACTGTTCCCAATGAAATTCCATAAAACTATTAAATTCTCACTGAACGGTGTTACAAAAGCAATCAGTTCACATAATTACAAAGTACAAACTGCTATTTTGGACTATCCTTGTTCTTCAAAAAAGTATTTTTGGAAATTGATATACTTGTTTCTAAAAACATTTCCTTTAGAATGCGTTACTAAAATAAAATTAATACTTACACTTTTTTTGGATCCCAAATATTCACTACCCTTTGATTGTCTTAGTAATCATATAACTAGTCTCATTATTCTTAATGTAACGTTGAGTGAAAGCAGCTGCTTACTGTTTGGGATATAGTGTTTGCAGCTCCATAAATGCCAAGCCGCAATTAATTTCTTGTAAATAACGTTTAGAAGGACAATGTTAAATTAAACCGCAAAAACTCGCTATTGAGAAAGTCCTGGTAAAATAGGGGCGACGTTTAAGGAGAATTGTGGATGCCAGGACCGGAAGCACACACACAATTCCTGACTTTCGATTTATTATATGACCAGAAAAATGGAATTTCACGTGGGAGTTTCTCATTTCTTTAAAAATCGCACAAAAATGGAATGCCACAATTACAATAAAAACCTTTCCTGGCTGGAATCCCTTTCCATTGTTGTGCTGTTAGAATCATGTGAACGAGAGTGTAAAAATGTGTACGCGACAAAACGTTCCAAGAACCGTTAACGCATATAAGGAGATGAGGAGACATTGAAACGCAGCTCCACTTTTATTTAAGTGTCCAAATAACGCTCGTCTCTTATAGAGCAATGACTTTTATTAAAATTGCAAAATCAGGGACTAACACACTTTCGATATAAGGATAAAACTGATCCCTTAAACTGTATTCCTGATCTCCCATTTCGAACTCAATGTAGCGAAAATTGCGAAAATTTAGATAGCACTTGCAACAAATAGGCAATTTGCAGTCTTTTCGCATCTAGTTGAGCTAAATTAAGAGACTTTATCCTTCTTTTAATTATCGGCTATTTACCATTAGACACAAATAATAATATTCGTTCATAAATAGTATATATAGTCCTGGTAAACATTATTTAAACAATTTTGTATTGTTAATTGAATCAAACGATCTATATCACATCAAGCTTCTCGGCATTGAAAATAATTTCTGTCCAAAATTTAAAAGGAAGGTATAACGATCTCAGGTCAAGATATGTAAATTTTTACCGTTAATTTGCAAGAACTAAAATACAGAAACCACTTTTAGCACTTTGTCAAATAAAAATTTGATCATTCATGGGCTACTTTTTTTCTGCATAATTGCTTTTTCCTAAAAGAAAAGCCTAATTTAAGATTTCTTTTCCACCTTACTCAGTTCCCTTTGTTGAAAATCGTAAACTTTAATGAGATTTGCTATCTTCAATATTTACTTCCGCGTTTTGCATTTTTTTCTCTGCTTTGCAAATATACTAAAAAATTATTTAAAATCGTCCGATACAGCAAACACATCTGATAAAAGTAAGTGTGGAAATGAGAAAGAAAATGCTCCGTTTGCTAATTGTAATAAATACGAATATGGCGAAAGGTTGTCATACTCTGGTTATAAACTGTGTGATTTACAATTTTATTACCGATTTTAAACAGTTTCGCTGCATATCTTGCACGTAGTTGCGTGGACTCTTCAGAGATTTACTTATCTGAGTCGTAAATTACCCCATAATCGCTTAATTTCGTATGAAAATGAACTTACGTTTTACATAAATATTTTAATTTTCTTTTTATTGTCACTTTAAGAAATCTTGATTCGTATAATATTCGTATTTATGTTCAATATGCACGATCTACTTTCCGCAAATTTTCTGTTAATTTAAAGAGTATTTTTATTTCACACATTCACTTAATATCTTGCTTTTATAAACAAGTAATAGCGCGAATTACCATTTTTTATTCCATGGGGTGGTAGCCATATTTTATTTAATTTGAAAATATCTTTCATAATATAGCACTAGCATTTAAATCGCATATATGTATACATACATGTAGAGGTATTAATTACGAAAATACATTTTAAATTAATTGGTTGCCGATCAAAAAATATTTCACAAAATTGTTCAATTTGCATTGAATCGTCTGGAAAATACAAGTGACAAAATTTAAAAAAAGGGACTGAAACCGGGCTGCATTGCAGAATCTTAAAGTGGTCTTGGTGTCAAAAATCGACATTTTTAATCTGCAAAATGAATTCACTGCATAGTAATTAGAAGCAAAATAGCCCGTATTACAACCCTTACCAATTAATTTGATTTGTCAATCATAAACATACCAGTAATCAATTAAACTGACTTCGAAGACATTTATTGAACACATTAGAGCAATGACACAAATTCGCGTCAAAAATCGAAACAAAAAACAATTTAACAGTATAAAAGCTATAATCAAAGCTGAAAATTCCAATAATTGCAATAACTATGCCATTAAAAATATCGGTTCCCAAATTAAATTTCCAATATTTAATGAGAGATCAAAGGAGATGCTTTCAATATTGTAACAAAGAATGTTTAAATTGTATTAAGTTCCTGAAAGTAAAATGATAAGGAGAAGCCGCTTTGGGGATGCAGTTCGGAATCTGATTGTCGTTTGCGATGAGGGTGACCGGACTTAAAAATATATTTGAGGGGACTTGTAAAATGGAAGCTAATTAAGTTGTCAGTCCCCCCAAGCGGATAGGTCTCGGTTTATGAATATAATCATTTTTCATCCCAATAAACGGGCTTAAATGAAAGCTACACGTTGAGGTGCAATGAGCGTTTTATTTTTCGTGTTTTCATCTTTGGAGTGTCCACTCATGTGATCCTACTTGCAAGAACTGATTTTTAGCTCGTGGATTTGCCAAATCTTAGTATTTGCAATATAAGCGGTAATGTAACATAAGAGTATATTTGTACATTTCTTTAAATCAAAGTTAAATAGATTATCGGCAGTATGCGGTTAATATAAACCAAACATCTGATATTGTCAATAAGTTTATTGGGCGATGAGTGACGCAATATTATTTCAATTTTAATGAACAGAAGCATTTCTCGTTGGACTGACATATTTCAAAATGAATCACATTTCTGTTTAACATTCAGATTAATCAAATCACATTTTATGTCTTTCTTATCTCTGTAGTAACAAAGGTAGTTCTCAATAATTGCTTTAGCCAGTCGCCAATCGCTTGAGCAAAGACGTAGACATATCTCCAACTTACCTGTGATCGTCAGTGCTCTAAGTGTAATAAATACTTTAATTTATCTGTTGCTGACGATATGACTATCCCAAAATCCGAGAAATCCAATTCGACAGGGAAAGAAACAGTTCCGAAATCGCTTGATTTGAAACCGATAGAAAACTCTGACTTGCCGATTTTTGCGGTCAATCTAGACACGCTCCCTACAAGTACTTCTTTAACGTGTGAAGTGTCATTTATCGGAGATACTGATCAACGTCCATCGGTCGACGGTACCGTATCTCAGAAAAATAATCCTCACTTTGAAGACATGGAGGAAATCAGAAAAATGCGTACAGAAGAAGCCACCGCTATAATGTCTTCTGAAAACTGTAAAGTGCATTTTCAAGTCATAGATGAGTACTCCTCACTGCGTGAAACTGAACGAACGAAAAATAATTTTGACTTTGAGGACATCGAAGAATTCAGGAAAAT